AGGGGGCTGCCCTGGGGGACGAGGCTCGGGCTTGGCTTACAGGCCCTGGAGGGCCAGGGGCGGGGGCCGCATCTGTTGTGGGGAAGGCGTGGCTATGTGAGGCCTCTCCAGAGCCGCGTCTCGGCGGGAATAAGGGAGGGGTTGTGAGACATGGCGCCCCCTCCACCCGCGGGGACCAGCGGGGGCTCAAGATCTCACATCTTCCCCCTCCATTTCCCCCCTTCCCCGCTTTGACTTTTATTGGGGGCAGGTGTCTCTGAGGACAAGCTCCTTGTCTCGGCCCCCAAGTTCCCAGAACAAGTGGTCCTCGCGCAGCGGACCCACCCTAGACCCGGGCACTCAAGGAGAGAGCTCCTCAACCCTAGGAGGTACCGCCCCCCACGTACATCTGATCACCCTCACCCCATGCGTCCTGGGGAGCTGGCAGCTCAAGCTGTCTTGCATCACCCCTTTCTCTGCCCTGGGGAGTCTGGAGGGACCTGGATGGATGCAGGTCGCGTGACCCTCATGACCTGGGTGACCCAGGGAGAGCTTTTCCCATCTCTGGACCTAGGCCAGAGGACAGGCTGGCTGCTCAGCGGGTCAGGGCTCCCACCCCGCAGGGCCTGCAGCAGCTCTGTGCACCCTGGATTACCCCACCCCACCCCTTTTCTGGAGTGGTTGTAGGTGCCAGCTGGCTCATTTGGAGGTGACTGGGTCCAAGCTGGGCCTATAATGCCCCCTTTCCCAGCTCACTGTTCTTCCCAGGTACCCTCAAAGGGCTCATTGCTTGAATATGGATGACTAGTTGTTCCAACACCATTTGCTGAAAAAAACTATCCTTTCACTACTGAACTGTACATCTGCCAAAGATCAAATAGCTGAATTTTTATGGCTCTATTTCCGGGCTATCTATTCGGTTGTATTGATCTATGCACCTATCACTTTACCAGTACTACACAGTCATGATTACTGTGTGGCTGTATAGTGTTAAAATCAGATAGTGTGATTCCTACAACTTTTTTTTCAAATTTTAGTTATTCTAGTTCCATTGCCCATATAAATTGTAGAGTCAGTCTAAAACTACCCCCAAACAATCTGTAGATGACTCTGAGGAAAACTGACATCTTTACTGAGTCTTCAAGTCTACCAACACTGTCTTTCCACTGATTTAGGTTTCCTTTGATTATTTTCAACAGCATTTTAGTTTTTAGCACGTTTTGTTGGATTTACACCTAGGCAATTTTGGAGCTATTGAAAATAGTAACTTAAAATAATTTTTTTGGTTCCCAGCTGTCTGTTGTTTGTATGTGGGAACATGATTGATTTCTGTGTTGACCTTGCATCCTCAGCCTTGCTAAACTCACTCACTGATTCTAGGAGTTTGTTTGTTTGCTTTAAATAGACTCCCTGGGATTTTCTACATAGTTAATTATGTTTGCCTGCAAATCAGGACAGTTTCATTTATTCTTTCCAACTTGTATGCCTTTTATTTCTGTTCTTGCCTTTTTTTTTTTGAGTTGGGGTCTCACTCTGTTGCCCAGGCTGGAGTGCAGTGGCACGCTCACAGTCACCACAGCCTCAACCTACTGGGCTCAGGCGATCCTTCCACCTCAGCCTTCCAAGTAGCTGGAACTACAGGCATGCACCAGCACACCCGGCTAATTTTAATTTTTTTATTTATTGTAGAGATGAGGTCTGGCTAAGTTGCCCAGGCTAGTCTCAAACCTGTGGACTCAGGCAATCCTCTCACCTCCGCCTCCCAAAGTGCTGGGATTATAGGTGTGAGCCACTGCGCCCAGCTGTTCTTGCCTTTTTGCACTGGCCAGAACTTCCAGTACTTTGTTGATAAGAGTGGTGAGGGAAGGCTGAGCACAGTGGCTCATACCTGTAACCCCAGCACTTTGGAAGACTGAGGCGGGAGGATCACTTGGGTCCAGGAGTTTAAGACTCTGTCTCCACAAAAAAATAAAAAATAAATTAGCCAGGCGTGGTGGCACACACCTCCTAGCTACTCAGGAGGCTAATGTGGGAGGATTGTTTGAGCCCAGGATTTCGAGGCTGCAGTAAGCTGTGATCTTGCCACTGCACGACTACACTCCAGCCTGGATAACACAGAAGGATCCTCTCTCTGAAGAAAAAAGGAGACCGGGCTCGATGGCTCAATCTGTAATCCCAGCACTTTGGGAGGCTGAGGCAGCTGGACTGCCTGAGTCCACACGTTGGAGACCACCCCGGGAAATTTGGTGAGACCTCGTCTCTATAATAAATAAAAACTTTGCAGCTGGGTGAGGTAGCTTGCACCTGTAGTTCCAACTACTTGGAAGGCTGAGGCAGAAGGATCACCGGAGCCCGCCAGCTGGAGCCCAGCCAGCCTAGGCAAGAGTGAGACTCCAACTCAAAAAAAAAAAGAAGAAAGAAAGAAAGAAAAAAGGAGTGGTGAGGGTAGAAATCTTGATCCTGGTCTTAGGACCAAGTGGAATGTGACCAGTCTTTCACCATGAAGTATGCTGTAGGATAAGTGTGGATGTCTTTTATCAGGTTGAGGGAGTTTACTGGATGTAGAAATCTGAATTGACAGTTATTTTCTTTTAGTACATGAAAAACATTGTGCCTCTTCCTTCTGGCCCTCATGGTTTCTGACGAGAAATCCAGTCATTTGAATCATTTCTCTGCTGTAGGTAATATATCATTTTCCTCTGGCTACTTTTAATATTTTTTTGTCTTCAGTTCTCAACAATTTGATCTTGAAGTGTCTTGATATGTATTTCTTTATACTGAGTGGGATTTGTTCTGCTTCGTGAATGTTAGGTTTATGCCTTTTACTAAACTTGGTACATTTTCAGATATTAGTTCTACACCTATTTTTCAGCCTCACAGTCTTTCTTTTTATAAGACTCAAATGAAATAAATATTAGCCCACAGGTCCCCGAGTCTCTGTTAATTTTTTTTAAATGTTTTTCTGTATTGCTCAGATTTCTATTAATATGTCCCTGAGTTAATTGGCTTATTCCTCTGCTTTACTGTTGAATTTATCTAGTGAGTTATTTTTTTCTGTCAGTTATATTTTTCAGTTCTAAAATTTCCTTTTGGTTCTTCTTAATATCTTCTATTTATTTGCTAAATCATTTTATCTCAATATTTGTGTCAAGACTATTTGCAATTACTGGTTCAAGCATTTTTATAATGGCTATTTTAAAGTCCTTGTCTGATAATTCATCTGTGTCATTACATCATTGGTGTCTATAATCTTTACCTGCATGAATTGAGATTTTTACATTCTTCATATGCCAAGTGATTTCCATTTCTGTCCTAGGGATTTTGAGTATTAAGAGACTCTGGGCTTTTTTTTTCCCCCTCCTCATTTTTGTTTTAGTCCCTTGTGTGATGTGGTTCCAATATCAGTTCAATTTTAAAAGCCTTTGCTGTTCTATTCAGTACAATTCTTTATGTGCACCATCTAGTGGTCACTCTGAGACCTAAGTGGAAGTCTACCAATTAGATAGATAATTCTCCAAGTATTTGATGTGCTAATTAAATCAGATCCATGTACCTGCAGATTAAGGGAGAACTCAGGAGTTCAAAACTTTAAAGTTCATAGGATTATTTCCCTAAACTTCTTCCTCTCCATTATTTTCCTGGTACTTTCCAGTTACCTGAGGTTCCCTTTTCCTCCAACAGGAACTGCCTACTTCTGCATTTGTGATGCATCTGGGGCCAAATAGCAGAAAGAGATAGAGGTGAAAAGACTACTAAGAAACAAGTTCAGGAGGCTCCAGGATCCAAGAGCAATATTCAAAAATCAACTGAGTTTCTGTATGTTAGCAATAAACAATTCAAAAATGAAACTGAGAAAACAATTTTATTCACAATAGCATCAAAAGTAATAAGATACGTAGGAATAAGTTTAACAAAAATAGTGCAAGATGGGTACAATTAAAACTATATAGTATTAAAACTAAGAGATATTGAAGATCTAATGATTGGAGAAACAGTTTATGTTTGTGGATTAGAAGACAATACTGCTATGACATTACTCCCCAGATTGGCTTATGGGTTGAATGTAATCCCTATTGAAATGTGAACTGGCTTTTTAAAAAGATTTTGCAGAAACTAGTAATCTCATCATAAAATGTATATGGAAATGCAAAGGATCCAGAATAGGCAAAACAATTTGGAAAAAGAACAAAGTTAGAGGACTTACACTTTCCAATCTCAAAACTTATTATAAAACTATAAACATAAGGAGAGTGTGTAGTGGCATAAGGATCGATATATAGATCAACAGAGAGTCAAGAAATAAACCCAAACATTTATGGTCAATTGATTTTTGACAAAGGTGCCAGGGCTTTCAATGGGGAAAAGAAAAGTCTTTTCAACAAAGGTGCTATGACAGTTAGATAGCCACCTGTGAAAAGATGAGTTTGGACTCTGACCTCACACCCTATGCAAACATTAACTCAAAGTGAACCACAGCCCTAAATGAAAGAGCTACAGCTATGGAACTGTTCAAAGGAAACATAAGACTGGGCATGGTGTCGCACACCTGTGATCCTAGCACTTTGAGAGGCTAAGATGGGAGGATTACTTGAGCTCAGGAGTTCGAGACCAGCCTAGGCCACATAATGAGACTTTGTTTCTACAAAAAAAACTTTAAAAAAAATTAGCCAGGTGTGGTGGCACACATCAGTAGTCCCAGCTTCCTGAGAGGCTGAGGTAGAAGGATCACCCAAACCCAGGATGCTGTGGTGAACTGTGATCATGCCACTGCACTCCAGCCTGGGTGACCAAGTGAGACCCTGGCTCAAAAATAAATCAATAAATAAGGAAACAAGAGGGAAAATCTGTGACCTTGAGTTAGGCAAAGTTCTCAGGTGTAACACTCAAGACAAGATCCATGAAAGAAAAAAATAGATAAATTGAACTTGATCAAAAGTAAAAATCTTGTGCTTCAAGCACCATTACTCCAGTCTGGGTGACAGAGTGAGACTCCAACTCAAAAAAAAGAAAGAAAGAAAGAAAACGAAAATTAGCCAGGCTCGGTGGCTCAGCCTGTAATCCCGCGCCTTTGGGAGGCTGAGGTGAGTGGATTGCCTGAGCCTGCAGGTTCGAGACCCGCCTGGGCAACTTGGTGAGACCTCGTCTCTACAATAAATCAAAAAATTAGCTGGGCGTAGTAGCGCGCGCCTGTAGTTCCAGCTACTTGGAAGGCTGAGGCGGAAGGACCGCTGGAGCCCAGCAAGTCGAGGCTGCGGTGGCCCGGAGTGGCCACTGCACTACAGTCTGGGCGACAGAGTGAGACTCCAACTCAAAAAAAAAAAAACAAAAGAATGAAAGAAAATGAAAATTGGCTGGGCGCGGTGGCTCAGCCTGTGATCCCAGCATTTTGGGAGGCCGAGGCAAGAGGACTGCCTGAGCCTGGGGATTCGAGACTAGCCTGGGCAACTTGGTGAGACCTCATCTCTACAATAAATCACAAAAACTAGCCAGGCATAGTGACATGCTTCTGTAGTTCCAGCTACTTGGAAAGCTGAGGCAGAAGGATCTCTGGAGCCCAACAGGTCTAGGCTGCGGTGGCCATGAGCATGCCACCTTACTGTTCAGCCTGGGAGACAAGAGTGAGACTCCGATTCAAAAAAAAAAAAAAATGAAAATTGAGAGAATGTATTTGCTGTTAATGTAATAAA